TGAAATTTCAGCGTGAAAGTGATATGGAGACATGGAAAACTATTCACCGCACACACATGCTTGATTAAACTAATCACTACACAGGCGGAAAAAGATAAACAGCAACAGTTGTTCAATTGACCACTCTCTATATCGATTATCTAGCGCTTGTATGCCTTCTTACTCCGAATGCACGATGCAACGAATGTCGAAAAAGAAAGTAGAGCATATATCGACCACTTTTAAAGTCTATTTTGAAATATCACTATGATAATTTTTTCGATTAGCCCATTCGATTTTTTACAGGCACCAGGCACTGGTGATGATATTGAGTGTGGGTTTCACTCCTTGGGAGATTGTAAATTCTTCACTAATTAAATGCGACGGAAATGTTTGTGATGACCAACAAAGAGCACTGGACAGCTGTTTCCAAACATCCACCGTCTAAATTGATTGAACCATTCGCACAGGGAGATGACCGTCGACCGTATGGCCCAGGGGTGGGAACTTAAAGTTCCATTCAGAAGGTTCATGGTTCGAGTCCGGACAAGGAAACAAAAAGTCCCAAACAGTTACCCAGTTCTGTTTGTCAGTCATCACAACCACTTTCATCACTACGATAACTTTGCATTGTTACAGTGGTTACAGTGGTAAAGAAGTCTCTATCAATTTCAGGGTGAAGCACCAAAAGAGTACACAGCAATTGTTCATCAATGAAATCAGAGCTATTGTGATTTTTAGACCGAATTGTGTAAGAAACGAGATTTGATGCAACCGCTAGCAGCCTCTAAACTCACGAAGTCTGATAGTCTTCCCCCGGCTCTTTTTCATAGCTATATAATGTGGCCTGATTGCTCAACTGCCAACCACAATTATGACTGGTGAAGCGTTAAGCAAACATACTGCTGCTATCCACTTATAGTATCTCCTACTTCCTTTGCTTTGAAAATACTTCGCATGCAGACATTGTGGCATACAGCACACACCATCTATTTATGTAGTATATGAAAAACCATACATGTGTGACAGTGGCGTAATTGGCGTGCTTCAGCAATATTAGTCTATCCGTTGGGGAGTACCATTAATGCAACATCTGACAAAATACATAAGAAATGGCGCACACATTCAAGGGCGTTCAAATTTCTTTTATAGTTAAAGATTTCAGCCACCTTTCAAGGCCTGCAGTGTTCTAGGAATAATTTTCAGAGAATGCAATAAGGTTTTGCGACAGACCTCCGAGTGCCAAGTTAGCAAATGTTTGATGCAAATATTGAAAGAGCACAGTAGCAGGAGGGGAAATCACAGTTTATATGTGCTGGGGGGATCCAGTGTGGGGAAGACATTACACTTTGAAATTCGACTGGGGGCTTATCATAATACATCGCAGAAATAGCTATCGGTGGCTAAACTACCATCATAGATAACTACATACTGACTAACGATATGTTCAAGGGCTGTGGTGTGGGAACAAACCTCAGACATCGATCAGTAATCTTATGGTTCCTTTTTCATTATTGGATACACCTTTGAACAGTCGATTTTCAGAAAGGAAGCCGCAGTTAATTAAAGGCTGTCACGGGAATAACACAAATCGAAAACGGACGGCGGTAGCGGGATTCAAAACGATCTCCGTTTCACACTAATAATGACCACAATCACTCGATCGCGACTCAGACGATAAAACGTTTTTTTTACTTCACCTCTAAAAGTTATCGATGCAATCTGTACACTAATGCTCACACACAAAAGTTTTCATGGGCATGTTTTCTGAGACTCCGTACCATATACCCAAGTGCGGTAGACGACCATCTAGCCAGAGGTTGCACAATGTGTCCGCGGATTTTCACTGATTCTCGACGCTTAGTTATTTCAAAAGTGGAGTACCCGACATGAATGCAATTGCATGTGTTGAGACCCTCAGCTAGTTCTCGGGACACTCCAAGCGCTGGATTAACAAAAGGGACATTGCTTCTTGCGAACAGTAGCAATCATTAACCTTGCACTTTTTTGCGGTGGTTCTTGTTACTGGCTTTTGGCTGCCTACTTGGATGAACATCAGGAGAAAGACAAGAAAGTTGAAGGTAGAGTCGAATAGCTCGGAAGAGCAGAGCTGTATGCTACCGAGCGCGTCCCCAGGTCGCGGATAGGGGA